AGAACCTCTTGACTGTTAAACAAATTCTCCTTGCCAGCACATTAGGAAATGTATAGAGAGTGGTATGGAGAATATGCATACTGATGTTAGGGTGTAAAGGGTTAAAGGCATCTTGTGATCAGTTTTATTTATGTAGAGTATTGCTTGAATATATAATTGTGGTAAGTGCAAGTGCCTAGTAAACATCATTCTTTTACCATTGTCTCATCACATCAGATTCTCATCACATTTTTTGTTACATTTGAAAACAGAAGAAAATTTTAGTCATTACAATATAATGAAATCCCCCATTTTAACCCTTTTAGTCTGACTAGTGACTTAGATAGAATTTCTCTTTACATTATCAGACTACAATATCAAGCAGAAAAGTAATGAGAATAAAGAAAAATATCAAAAAGGGGATTATTGGTTGATTCAATTCCAAATTCTCCAACCTAACATCACATAAATTGTATGGCAGACAGTGGGGAGAATTACTAATGAAATCTTGAGAGTTAAAGGGTTAAGACACATATGGTAATCATATGTACCAGGAAGACAGCGAAGGAATGTAACATACCCCAGTAAAGTGTTCTTATGGACAATGAAGTTTCAAACTCATTCAAATTAAGTTGACTTCATGATTCAGATTTTAGTTAAAGAAATGTGATGAAAAGAGAAGGCCATTTATGAATTTTAAAATAGTAAATTCCAAAAACTTAAAAACAGAATTAAAAAAAACCACTTAAATATGGCATATCTATTCACTGAGATTTTAATCATTAGCTGGCACACAGAGATATAAAAGAGGCTTTATGAAAAAAAGCAAGGCAAAAAGATCAAAGATTCAGGAGAAGCATATGACATCAACAAGTTTACTGATGTTTTCACCTGAATTCAATCTGGAAAGAGAACTCTGGAACACTTATGTTTTATCTTCTCACAATTGAATTAAAACACAAAATTTAATTATTTGCAGGCAGGTTAAAGAGGAAATTAAAGGAATTGATATATGTTACATAAAAAGAAACCCCTTACAATAACAATAAAGCAGAATCATATTACCGTCATGTATATGCTTCTGAATACAGCTATATCAGCTAATTTTTGAGCAATTATCTACATATGAAACCCGGGTGCAATATACGGTCACCGTGGTAAAAGCAATTTTATTCTAACCTACCTCCTGCACGGCTGTCTTGAGTATCAAATATATCAAGTTCAGTACCTCCAGAGTAATAGGGCGGGCTTTGGGGGCTACAAAATAATAAAATAATCAACGAGTTATGGCAGGCCAATTTGTCGAGAGTCAATTAAGTATAGTTTCTTAAAATCATATGGAAATTTTAAAATGTGTTTCACTTGTGCTACATATACGGATTTATCGTTCTTAATTACTGATGAAATTCTGCGAGTGTGACACAATTAATTCAAAAGAAAATATCCAAGCAGGTTACAGAAATGGTTCACGAATTGTAAACTGATGGTGTATTACCAAAACTTCGACCCTAAATTACGGTGCCGATACGAATCTATCGTTCATAATCGCTTATGACATTCCGAGATTGCACTTCAATGAATTCAACAGAAAATATCCAGGAAGGTTACAGAAACGGACTCTCAAAAACGGGTCTTGTACACAACAATTATTTACACTAACCATGTGCTTACCAGCGTGCTTATGAGCTCAAATTGCCAGGACCCTGTTTAATTACACGATCACAGCTCGGACGCTTCTTGCAAAATATAATGATTATCAATTTCAGAGATTGATTCTTCAGTTTCCAGCATTAGTAAAAAATTATCGTATCGTATTCATGTTCATCATAACCCAAGCCGCAAGTACGCCTCGAGATGTTGAGATAAGAGAAAGTGGCTCCATGTTTTGTGAGACAAACCATTTCCTGAAGTTCGAACGAATCGAGTAGAAAGCATGAAAACTTAGCGCTGAAAAGTACCATGACTAAACAATGAAATTCACTCATCCCGCAGTAGGACTAACTCTATTTAACCCGCGAGTTTGTTTGCACCACGCATTTGCGGTCGGTAATTTAATTCTCGTGTTTGACGAGTTCTCACATGACAATATTGTCAAAATCAAATTACGCGTCAGAGTTAATGTAAACATGAGCATCGCTGACTCAATTTCATTTTATTTCAATTTTGGAAAAGGCCATCACTTAGCTTTTAGAGTAAAATAACACTTCTTCGACAAAGCGCGTTTTTTTTTAAAGTGAGTTCTGCTATAGTTAACTGAAGAGAGAAAGAGTTAGAAACTTGCGCTCACCGTTCGCTATAATTTGAAAACTTTCTTAGGAAATCAAAATCCTTAAGATAACTTCTTTTCCCTTAACACCACGACTGTATTAAACTTTCCAAACGAAAGGACAAGAAATATCTTGAAGAATACGAACACTTTGAAATGTTAATCGAGCGATGAACCGGCGCCAGGGTTCTTAGGCGATGAATGTCAACGTTATTGTTTTACCGTAACGTGATTTAGTTATAAACTGAAGCTAGCATCAAACTAAGATTGGTAAAAAGGTTTGAATTTTTCTGGGCCTTAGCGTAAGAGGAAACCCAGATAAGACACGACTTACCTTCTCTTCTTTCTCGAATCCTGTGTAGTTCGCTTCTCTTTGTTGATGACCTCTTTTCAGTCAGTTTCAGGAGCGTCTTTGTATTTCCTTCTCGCGTTTCTCTTTGCTAGATATTCGCCGTTTTACTTATGCTTTTTCTTGTTCTATTTCGCGTTCCCCTCGCCGTATCCTGCCTATTTTGGTGTCCTCTCTAACTTTCTTGTGCGTTTTTCTCAACTAGTCTTACGCCTTTTACTTCTTGTTTTATTTTTTGTCGTTCTGTCTCTTTCTTTTCACCCTATTTTCGCTCAAAACCCTCTCTCCACGAACTTGAATTATAACTGTTTCATCCCCTTGACAAAGCTTTAGTTCTGCCGGTATTTTTGGTTTGCGAGTTGATTAGAAATTGCAAAAGGCTGAGAATTACTGTTCAACTACAGCCTCACCAGTTTGATTTCCCGCTCAAGACGCGGGTTGCACATTATTTGCTTACGTGGCTTCACATCTACTTGCCCACGTGAAGCCCTCCTGTGATGTCTAACTGTGTGCCTGCACTGAAGCTCGACACTCGAGTATGCGCACTTCATTGTAATCTGCCGGTGTCTCCTGGCGCACACTAATGGGGTATCCAAGTTACACACGCAAACGTGCCTGCGCACTACCTTCTCCCTTGCCCTTCCATTGCGTAATGGCTAAGATAGTGCCCGTGGTAAAATTGGCCGCGCATGCTGAAAGTAGCACCTTATACGGTCGATCGTACGGTTTCAAGTCCAAATTTTTTCGGCTTGATGGGTTACTGCTATTTCGTATAACTATGGGGCTACGCTGCGCGCTCTGCGAGCCCTGCTATGACATCAAATTAACTGAAGTCAAGCGCTATTCCGTCTGTATCATCCTTTAAGAAGACTCGAAATGAGACGTTTGGAGGTTAGGGACAGTCTTGGCTCACTGAAAAATGACCCATTAGTCAAC